AAGAAAAAAAATTTTTCCTTTTTTTAAACCTTGTGTGCCGATTCCCCCCCCCCCCCAAAAAAAAAAAAAAAAAAAAAAATCTCACATTTTATTGCACTAAGCCATTGTGAAATTCTGTTGTTTTTCTATTCTATCTAACATTGGTCATTAAAGCTATAATGACCACGTTAAAACATTTAAAAGCCTGACTTTGATAAAAAAAAAAATAAAAAATAGAGTACCTGCTAAATTTAGCATTAGCTCATTGAGTATCATCAGATTGCTTGCGTAGCACAAGCGGAGATGCATCAATCAATCAGCGTCAGTCAGATCAGAATCTGCTTGTTTCGTTTCTGTCATTCTGATGTCTTACTTGGATGATTTTAAATGTTGAAACATTTTGATGGAACATTGTTTTTAACCATATTTGTTTCCATGCCAGTTAATTCCTAGTAAGGCATGTAGAGTCTAATCTCCCGTTTCCTTCCAGGTTTTAGTCGCACACTGCGTTTTCCTACACTAATCTAATCCTGCTTAAACTTCTCAGGACCCCAGCATAAACATCAGTGAGCTGAAAGAGATTCACTCGGAGATTAACCTGACTGTGCCGGACCCCATCCTGATCTCGAGCCTCCACGATGGGCTGGAAGGGGTGAGTCGCGGCGCTCCGCTGCCTCAGCAGGCGCCTGAGGAACCGTATAGCGTGAGCAGCTTTTAATCCGGCTCTGTCTGTTTCAGCAAAATGCCAAGAAAAGAAAACTGGAAGACGGAGGCGAAGACGCCGTGGGTGAGTTCTGCGCCAGCGGCCTCTCTTACGTCCTATCCGGCGTGCTGGTTGATCGTTTAATAATCGCTTCTCGTCTTCCAGTGACCGGCACTAAGGTCTTCGTCATGCCGGGTGGGATGATGAAGTGCAATGGAAACCTTGTCGAGCTCATCGAAAAGGTCAAGCCAGAGATCAGGACACTCATAGAGAAATGCAACACAGTAAGTCTGCAACATCCTGGTTGTTTTCTTTAGGGAGAAATGTATCGATAAAGTCACTTCAAGTATAAATTTGCAAAGATTTACTAAAACATTGAATAGCTTACCTAACCGCACTGACTCGCACGCTGCTTTAGAGAAAACGAGGCACAATGTTATAGATGTGGACTCTTTTAAAAGAAAAAAGATGCACAGATTTGTTTCATGTGATGAAGAAATGATTTAATGTCGACTCAGATGTTTTCACAGTATCATCATTCATTTATCACCTACACGTTGGACTACGAAGGGCCAAAACTTCCACTCTTCCATATCATAATATGAATAAAACTGGAAATGGATATAACACTTTGTGTGGATACTGGAGTGATACTGAAAGTTGATATTCATGTCCACCTTCAAATGTTTAATTTTGCATTTATTTCACCATTTCATGAAGCAAATTATTCTGTTACTGTGTCTCACCAAATACACCCTGACAACTGTTAACCTGCACAGCAAATGGACTTCAGAGACCGGCCTACTGAAGGCTCCTCCACACTTTCGAGGGAAAAGGGGCCATTTTTCAACATTAAATTATTACATTGCTACTTAAATGTATTAATACATTTTCAAAAATGCAAAATAAATACATTTACAATATGTTGGATTTATAATTATAATATTCCAGTAAGAAAACTATTTAGGAAATAAATCCATTTGAGTTGTTGCAATTTGCCTGCATTACCTATGAAAGTCAGCAGGGGGGGCTAACACTGCTGTACTTGCAATGTTACCTCTGAAATTGACCTGCTGTGCTGCGCCTTCTTCTAAAATTGGATGCAAATGTCTGATTGATAAACAAATCAAAGTCCCAGTTATTCCTAAAAGAAATGAATGAAAATACTCACATTTTACTTCACAGAAAATGTTATGGATCAGTCTTTCTCAAGTTTCTCCAAATATCCAGCTGACACTTTACCATTAGCAACATCCCACACTGTTGTTTCTCTCCCTCTGTAGGTGAAAATGTGGGTTCAGCTCCTCATCCCCAGGATAGAGGACGGAAACAACTTCGGCGTGTCTATCCAGGAGGAGACGGTTGCTGAACTCAGAACCGTTGAAGGGGAGGCGGCGTCTTATCTCGACCAGATATCAAGGTTTGCACGTCTTCCAAACACGCCGCCTTATAAATAGGATCCATTGAGTATCTGATGTCATAACGCTTGTTATTTTTATCTCCAGATACTACATCACAAGGGCGAAGCTGGTTTCTAAAATAGCTAAATATCCGCATGTGGTAAGTAAATGTCGTCGTGGAAAAATCAGTTCATTAAATGTGAATGTTTTTTTCCTCTTTGCTTGTTAGATCGTATGAAATAATGTAAGGCTGCGGAGTTAAAGTGAAACTTTAGTTTATTTGAATATCAATGGAAAAAGAAAAATGGATGTTTTTTTTTCTGTCTTTAAATCAGGAGGACTATCGGCGCACAGTTACGGAAATTGACGAGAAGGAGTACATCAGTCTGAAGATCATAGTTTCAGAGCTCAGAAATCAATATGTACGTTTTGTTTCATCTGCATCCATTTATACCTCAATTATTCTCCTTTAACCTGGCCGAATATTTCTTTATTTATTTATTTTTTGGTCTGCTTCCTCTAAAGGTAACGTTACACGACATGATCCTGAAGAACATTGAGAAGATCAAGAGGCCTCGAAGCAGTAACGCCGACGCATTGTACTGATATTCATCCAGCCATCTCAGCCTCCACGTCTGGTCTCCATCTTGTACTGGTTTGTCTGCAGGACAACTAGACATTCATCAACTTCAACACAATCATCCAAGCCCTCTATTGAATTCATAGCATTGTAGATGGACACATGCTCTTAATTTTTTTTTTTTTTTTTTTTTTTTTTTTTTTATTTTTTTTTTTTTTTTTCCCCCTTTGTTTTTTTTTTTTTAATTTTTT